GCAAGTCTTGGAGTTGGGGATCATAAGCGAGGCAGGGCCAGGAGAACTGGGGCACCCTCTTTCATATGGGGTCTCTCCCAAGCCCCAAGGTCATCACTGCCCTTCCTGCCCCTACCCCCAGGACCCTGGTCTGCTGGGGCCTCTGTGCACCCCTGGGGTCCTGGCCCCCGGTTCCGCTTACGTGGTCGATGAGCTCCTTCACGAGGCCGTTCCACTGGCCCTTGTCATCCTGCGCCCCGTACTTGCCGTCTTCCACCAGCCGGATCTCGTAGGAGAAGCCCAGGATGTGGGCCAGTTCCTTGAGCAGGTCGATGCAGTAGCCCTCGAACCGGTCGTTCCCGTACAGGGTCCTGTCGGACTTCCGGAACATGACAAAGGGCTCCTCCTGCAGGACAGACGGGGTGGAGATGACAGGGGCTGGGGGCGGGGAGGCTGGTGTGGGCTGGACCTCTAACCTTGTTTTTGGTTTTTAAAATTTATTTTAATTTTTTGCTGTTAGGTTGTGTGCTCGCTGGAGAGAGACTGAGAGCGGGAGAGAGAGGGAAAGCGAGTGATCACTCCCCGGGGGGATGCCCATGCTCCAATCCCTTCTCCTCCTTTCCTCTCTCAGGATTTTGGACACACATGCACATGTACCCAGAGAGATTTTCAAGCTGCAGGGTCCAGGACTTGAACCACATAGCCAGCCACGTGGATCCAGCCCCCTTAACCTCCATGCCACTTGTGGCCCCGACCTCTTGTTTTTACAAGAACACGTGGGGTAGCTTAGATGAATGGCGGTGCAGTCAGGGGAGGGAAAGCACCTCCCCCGGGAGTCGGGGTGTTCCACCAACGGCTGCCTACGGAGAGGCCCTGGCACAGGTGGGAGCTCAGTAGGTACTGGCTGATTCCACTGCCTAGCGGGCACAGAGCCAGCAGTGGTGGGACGGGGATTTGAACCCGAGATGATTCCGAAGCCCACGTCCTCTCTGCTGCACTAGCACACAGGCCAGGGTCTCAGCGTGTGGGTCCTGGACCGGGAGGATCCGCATCAGCATCACCAGGAAACTTGTCAGAATGCAGATTCCTGGGTGCCACGCAGATCTAACTGAACCCTGGTGGGGCCTGGCAGTCTGCTTTCGGTGGCTGCCCGGGACTCTGACGCCCACTTATGCTTGGGGCCACTGCAGCCACTCCCTTCTTAATTTCTCCCAACTTGTTTGAAGGTTCAACCTACAGAGTCCCTGCAGCCGCTCCCTCTGCGAGGGTCTCTCCAGTCCTGTCTCAGGAGCTGCCGGGCGAGTGACCGCTGGTAATGGTGACAGCCTGCACTTGTGGTGGCTGTCAGGCTCTCAGAAATTAGAAGGGGGACGGTGCCACACAGGGCCCAACACAGAGCACAGCAGCACCCCGGAGCTCTGCAGACAGAGCCGCTGCCGCCACGTTCAACCTCACCGTGGGCTCTCCGGAGTAGGTATTAATCCCACTTAAAATGATGAATCCCACCTGTTCACGAGGACGGGGGTGGGGGGGACCTGCGTGCCCACCTGGATGGCATGGAGGGAAGTGGGATGCCCTGAGTCCCCCGGGCGCCTCATCCTGGTGGGCACCTTAAGGTGGCTATGGGGCCAGAGTCACCTGTCTATGCCAGGCTCCGCCCTCTCCAGGTGATGGGGTGTCAGTGAAAGGCTTAGACTGGGGCATGGCTGTCTGATTTGTCAATTAGGACCTCACCCTGGCAACCCTGCAAAGGGTACCTGCGAGGAGAGGCAGAAGAACAGCGAGAAGCTGCTGAGCTCGTCCGGCCTGACACGGCTGAGGTGCTGCGGGCTCTTAGGTGGCAAGACCCAGGCCCGCGGTGGTTCCAGGGTCCAGATCACCTGCAAGTCCATTTCCACGGGTCCAGCCACCTAGCCCCACTTGTAAGTCCCCACCCTGAGCCTGGGATGAACAAGGTGGACTCCTAGAAACCCCCACATTTGTTGGGTTCCTACAATGTGCAGGGCATTGGCCTTTGTCACAGGCTGTTTGATTTCAAACCCGCTTGCTTGTAAGAGAGGTGTCATCATCCCCATTTGAGGGGTGAGGGAACAGAGAAGGTCACTAAGGTGCCCCACGTCACACAGGAGCTGAACTGCGGTTTGGAGGACTCCAGTCCCAGCCCTTCCCCGTCACCTCTGCCTGGCGTGGCTTCCCTCTATTCCTTGGGGCCAGGCCTTCCGGAATTCATCTGCCTCTCTAGATCTGGCGCTCAGTCCACAGCTGCACTCCATGCCCAAGTTACCTGGGCTTCCTTCCTCAGGCCCCAGTCCTGTTCCTGCCTGGGGTTCCTCAGCCTCCTCCTGCCAACCTTCCCCATCCACCTCGGCACCGTCATGGCTCAGAACGCCATGAGCCTTCGCCGTGAGCTGCCAGGTCAGGTGCCCACGCTCAAGCGCACTCCTACCCGGTCACGGAGGTGTCTCATCACGCTCTCACCTGGTGGGGCGGGCCCTGGCAAGGACCCACATCAGTGGTCCTCAGGAGCAGAACCCACTGGCAGCTTCCTGCCGTCCTCCTGCTGCGGTGGGTGCACTCAACTTTTTGACCCTTACCCCAGCAACATGGCCTCTCAACATCCCACACTGCCCAGGACTGCTCCAGCCCTTCAGTCGCCCTCAGATGCTTCAGAGAAGGAGTTGGGGAAGTCTGAATCCCAAGGGGCTCCCGACACTAGGGATTTGGAGAAGCCACTTCTGTCTCTTTGTAGAGAGCTGGAGCTTCAGCCTCGACACCACCACCACGCTAAGCCTCAGTGCCTCCCTCCCTCTCCCTCCAACCTGGCAGGCAGCTCAACAGCACTGCAGAAAAGAGTCTAGGTGGGGCCGAGGGGCAGCGGGTACCAGAGCAGAGAGGGCTTCGGCTGGCCCACACACCGCCTCAGTGCACGCTAATCTCGGGCGGTGCTCCCCCGGGCCCCAGCACAGGGTCCGAGATGGTTCAGCCCCGGTGCATCCTTGGTCGATGCTCTTGTGCAGTGAACCACCTGCATCACTGGACCTGCTGACCCTGACTTGGGCTCAAGGGACGCACGAGAGAGAAGGTGCCATCTTTCCCAGGGCACCTGCCAGCTACACATTGATTCCTGGGTAAAATCTACCTCCTTCCGTAAAGTGGGGAAAAGAACGGAACCCTCCTCATCGCGGGGATAAACGCATCAATCTATTAAAAGCACTTAATATGCCCCCTGGCAAATGTCGGCTGCCGTTACTGTTATTATTATTACTGTTACTACCGTCTTCTTCCCGTGTGTTGGTTAGCCTGTTACCACAGTGACCCTTCCAGCCTAGAGGCCATCCCCAATGTCGCCAAAGGTGAGAAATCAGGACGGGTAGCAGAAAACCATGTCGGGAGAGGTCCCCGAGATAGCTCGCTTCCTGACCCTCTCTGCACGCCCCTCCCCGGCCTATCCTCTAAAATTAGCACTTCATTTGTGAAGCCACCACAGCCCCAGAATCTATACATCTCCATATAAATACGCTGCCTTCGGAGCAGCTGTAAAATGCCATTAATTTCGGGAAGTGCTTTGCGGATGGCATACATATTTAACAGCCAAAGCCCAGAGCATTAAAATGGTGCTCGCCTTAGTAATGTGTCTCTAGACCTGCAACATTTCCTAGGGGGTAATTCTGAACTCCGCCAACTACTTATTCATGGACTATTTCACAATTTATTACTGGAAATGTCCAGACAGCCAATTCACAAGCTCTCTCGGCTGCTAATCGATTGCTCAGTGAAGGTGCCCTCAATTTCATAACTTCACGCTCTCCTATTGCTCCGGAGAACAGCCGCCGGAGCAGGGTAATATTTCTCTTCAACAAGTCACAGAAAACAGGGGTCCGGAAAAATAACCTTTCCCAACTTCCGTGGCCGGGGCCCTCGGTCTGGCTTCTCTGTGATCACGGAACTGGCGTGAAAGTGCCAAGCTTCTCCCAGTGACAGAACAGTGGGGTTGGAGAGGAGGGCTCCGAGGGCTATCCCAGGTGGGGAAGGATCCAGGGTTAGTACCTAAAGGGGGGTGTTCCCAAGCTGCCCTTCCGGCTGGGGCCCCTTGCCCACACCTGCACGCACTGGCACACACACTACGTCCCTGGATGTCCCATCACTGAAGCCAAGGACCCTGAACCTACCAGTCAGAGCCAGGTGAGTGCATCAGGAGTCCTGCTCTCCCAGCAGGAGGAGCAGGGGATGGCCCCTGCCTCAGACGCTTCTCTCAGCCCACAGCCTGGCCTTGGCCTCTCTTTCCCCTGTTGCTGAGTGCAGAGGGTCTATGTGGGTCACAGTGTGTATCCAGACCCTGTGCATAGCTGGTTCCACACCCCCACACACCCCCACACACACGCCGACAACGCCGCTCACATCAGCAGCCAGAAGAACCCTGAACCTTCAAACGCAGGCCCCCAGGAGCGAGTCGGGTGTGTTTTCTCGGTGTGTGAGCTGAGGTTTGGGCAGATGAATTTTTCATGAGCGCATGGAAGAGC